CCGGCCCGTCACCCGCTGCCTGGCTGGGCGTGCGCTCCACGGCTGGGCCTGGGGGCCAAGACCGCCCCGAGGTGGAAGTGCCCAGCTCCTGCCACACTGACGAGGCTCCAGTTGGGCCTGTCTGGGCAAGGTGCCCACCGCGGGCAATGCCCCGGGCCCTGTGCGGCTGGCCCGCTGCGGTGCCAGGGCAGGGGTGCTGGTGGCGGGGGGTTCTGGGTCCTCCTCGGCTGAGGGGCAGTGACACCACCTGGGAGGTGGACGTGGGCCAACCTGGCGGGAGCCGCCTGCCCGTCCTCCCGGGCTTTCTGAATTGGGCCCAGAGGACTCAGCGCTCAGCGCCACCTTCCAGCTGGTGCCTGGCCCAAGCCCGCTCCTGGCGCTGGAAGCCCCAGGCTGCGCCTCTCCACGCATCACCCCCCGCTGTCCCCTCGCCCACCCGCGGGCTGTGCCCTGGCCCACCTGCGGCCTACCTGCCGGAGACGGGGCGCCCACGTAGCACCGGGCCTGCAGCTGGGGCAGGCCGATGGGCCAGGCCGGTGGCCTCTGCAGAGGCCGGGGCAGGTCAGCAGCAGGAGCCTGGTGAAGGCCCCCCGCAGGCCTCACATGGTCCGGCTGTACTCCACGCCGCCCTTGGAGGAGATGCCGGACCAGGGCAGGAAGCTGCAGAGCAGGCTGTGGGCCTGGCGGTACAGCCTGTGCGGGATGGAGCAGGGGCTCAGGGTGGCGAGCGCGGAGCCCAGGTGCTGGATGTAGTCTGTGGCCCCGTTAAGGAAGGCTGCCCGGCCTCTCAGCCCTCTCAGCGGGGCCCCGCGACCCCGTCGCCCTCGCCCTCAGAAGCCAGGAGGCCGGTGCACCGCCACGGGGGACAAAGCCTCATCAGCTGGCCACGGCCTCCGAGGGCGGCGCGGGGCAGCACAGGACACCCGGTGCAGGCCGGTGTCCTGGCAGGAGGCCGAGGCCTCCAGGCTCTCCCCACGCCCGGGCCCCAGAGCACAGACCAGGCCACACGCACCCACAGCCACGTGACACGGAGGCCTGTGGGCATGGGCGCCTGCTCCTCCCTGGGCACTTCCCTGTGCTACGGAAAGCCCTGGAGCCGCTCGTTCAGTCACCACGCGTGGACGACCACTGCCTGGCGGCACACAGTCACCCCCGGGGGGCCCTGGCTCCCTCCCGTCAGTAAGCGAGGACTCAGCCGGGCCCTTCAGGAAGGGCAAACCGGGCAGTCAGGCACAGCGGCTCTCGCCCTCGTCCCTGGGCCCTGCCAGCGCCAATGGGTCGCTGCACCTGCTGGGCTCCCGCTGGGCCCGCGCCGGCACAGGGGTGCTCACCCGGGCTCGCGGGATGGGGGGGTGGATGGAGGGGCCACAGGGCTCACCAACACCTCAGCCCAGGGGGCAGGGGGCCCTGTCTGCCCGCCCGAGGCTGGCCGTGAGAGCCACGGGAAGTGGCCCCACCACCGGGAGCGCCCGGGGCTTGGCAGCCCAGCCCCAGAAGGGAAGGATATAAGAGGGTCCAGGGGGGGTGGCCCCCGTTGATGTAGAGCACGTAGGTGAAGCCGTCCTTGAGCACCCCGCGGATGGAGTAGTAGTAGGGCAGGTAGTGGTGCTGCCGGAAGGCCCTGTTCTCGTAGAAGCTGATGGCCGCGCTGTTGGTGGTGAGCACGTGCAGGTAGATGGCCTTGCAGTGGTCCTGCGCCGTGCTCGAGATGTGGTCCTTCAGGCTCTCCAGCAGGAGGGAGCCTGGCGAGAGGCGCGGGTCACGCGGCAGGCCATGGGC